GTATGTAAATGCGGTTCATGGCAATACGCTTCTTTCTCCTATTTTCGGAGCATCATTAGCTCGTCTGGGCCTAAACAAAAGTCTATTTAGTCACAAATGTCTCTTAAGTTCTTCAATACATTTGCTGACATCGTCTCTCGTCAACACTGAGGAATGACTGAGAAAAACTAATATTTGATGTTGTTTTGTTATGATGGAACGCCATTGTGATGGTGTATTTTTCAATCGGATATCTAAAGACGACTTGCTCATGGAAACACTCTTTTTTATCCTATCTTCTGGTATCTCTAGCTCGCTTAGGCCTAAACAAAATTCAGTCTGAAGTAGTCACAATCTTCCTTCTTCATGAATGACTGAACTTTGTTCATTGTTCAACGACTGAACATTTTTATCGTTAAAGGGTTTTTGTTAATTGCTTTTCGTTTTTGATTGCCGAGGTTCATATTGTTTCTGCAATGAATCAATAAAATTTTGAAAATCTTGTTTCATTCCAGAAAATTAATTTCTTTCACACCATTGAGGAATTTCCGGACCGGTATTCCGTTTGCTCCTGACGTTATACATAGAAATAATAAGTTCTTGTATCAGGAGGGTGGGGGTTGGGGGGTGGGGCAACGGCGGCCTGCCAGCTCATTAAAAGGGGTAACGGAGCACCCGAACGTGAGAACAAAAAGTAAGTGTCAATCACCAGAACATTCTCAAAAAAAGAGGACAAATATTTTACACATTCTTCGTCAGCATTCACAACAATATTGTGTTGATATGCCGTTTCTTCGGGTCCAGTCGACACTGCTCCGCTTTGTGGTGTTCCACTATATGCACATCTTGCTTCAATATTTTCATGCTGAATTCAAATACCGTTCACTTCTGACATCCTCAATTATTTTTTTACCTATCCTAGTGACTTATAATTGCAATAAAAGATCATAATTAATGCAAAAAAGTGATGAATGCAAATTATCAGATTGTTTCTTAACAGCTATGCTAATCAAATTAAGATTAACGCTGCAATGGCATACTTCAAAAATCCTCGAATATTCATCTTTAAAGACCCGTTTCAAAGAAATAAAGCAGCGGTTGACCCTCCCACCATAAAGAATTCATCTCAAAATTATTTGGAAAAGATAACCAAATGATGAACCTTGGGTTCGGTATTGTGGTGCCTTTGGCGTTCTGGATACTGACTCATATCATCGATAGAAGAATTATTATGTCCAGGAGGATGTTCAGGAGCCGTTAGAAGACTGGACTGTACATTTGATGTTTCTTTGTCGCTGCAAGCAGTGATATTCAGTATGATGTACTGACTCAAGCTGACAGATGCCGGGTAAAAATGAACAAGTTCTTCATAGAATTGAAATGGAACACTGATATGAAACCTTTTAAGATGATCGATCTGTTTGAATAATTTTCCCTTAACAATTAGATCACCGAAGCCTTGTTGATGTGAGAAAGCGTATCCAGAACGTAATGAACGACGACTTCGTCGTGCTCCTGTTGACCTCACGAATGGCCTTAAATGTTTTCTCTTTTTACACGAAGCTTTCACTTGGGTGTGAAATTAAAGGGTTCATCAGCCTAAAACCGTCTGTTAAATGAAGGAAATAACATGCGACAGAACGACAATACCAGTACAACTAATATGTTTTCAGAAAAACGCAATTCGTGAAAGTATGAAGCATTCGAACGAACTTCATTGGCACTTCAGTCTTCTCTTCGCGAACACTCTTTGGCAATTTATTGTACATTCGAAGGCGATCTGCATAAGACGGATGTGTATCGAACCAAAAGAATCTGTTGGCCATGACAGGAAGTAAAAGAATGACACTAATCATCAACAGACACAACCAAAATTGAGGCGTTGACATTGCTTCGAAAGCAATTCCATACGATATACTCGATTGCGAGGTTGCCACTACGTTGGCTGGTAAGGCTAAAATATATTCTAAACATTCTTAATCTGAAATTTCAGATCACGCGAAATTATTTTTTCGGACACAGACTTCGGTTTTCGACTCAATCCACCACATATAAAATGCAACATTTGCAGACGTTCAGTGCATCTTAAGCAATCATTTATCAACGAGACTAAATAACATGTCTACCATCCGATCGAAAAATGATGTTGACAGACGAGTGCACCATTCAACACACTAACTGTTCATTTCGTTGGTTAATGATTATAAACGCGAAAACTTCAATGACCCAACCTTCATAAATGATAAAAGCTACTCCGAAATAGAACAGTAACGATCCCCAGATAACAATATGACTGAACGCTGTCCAGTATGCCGTATCGAACATAATTTGTCCGTTCACGACAATGATAAGAGCCGTGAAACACGTAAAAGCGAGAAATGAATAACTATTCATATCACGACCCGATGAATCAACTCCGTCATACATTGCGCCATAAGGAATGAAGAATATAACCAATGAACTGAAACCATTTCCATTATGTTTCAAGGAACCAATGAGTCGCAGAATTTTACGATTAAGTGAAATATAAATTGGGAATTCGATAATCTTCTTATGCTTTCGATAGATATTTGTCACTGTTTCAAGCCGCTTTTTACTTATTCAGTTCATCCGACTAAAAGTTCACTTTCGGCAACCAAATCGCAATGGTAATGAAGCGTGTGGATATGATACTGAATCAAGGAGCAATCAAATACAAACCTGATAATACCGTGAAGTACAGAATATATGAAAATACGCATATTAAAGAACAAATTGTATTGTCCGGGCATATATAATTTAGCATATTTGATGCTTTGCACATCATCTAAATCCTGATCAAATACGCCCATCGCAAGTACTGGAAGCGCAGTGAAGAACAAGTTGTAAGATGCGATAAAAACAGGATCATAAACAGTCTGAAAGATGATTCTTAGACTAAATCCAAGAGAACTTTATATTCAAGATGAACTGAAAATATAAAGTTTTTTTTATATTTTTGAAGTGGATAATTTCTCGATGCAACCATTTAATAAGCACGCCAAATTGTTTTGCAAATATCCCTTCACCAGAACATAAACATCGCTCGAATACCTTCCGAAAATTGACCGAAAAGAATATGCAAATTTGAAAAAAAAAACGTGAATGTTGTTAGTTAAAAACAGTTGCTGCATTTTAACTCACCTGGGCTGAATAACCGCAGAAAAATGAATACCAGAAATGTGTAAGTGTGAAGGAAAAATTTTTATAGAAGAAATAACGCAGGAATTTAGCCATCCTAAAATATGACCATCGGCCATGAACCAGCAGAAGCCGTTGCAAATATCGGAATTGTCCTATGCTGTAATCGGAAGCCAGTACTGCCTGCATGCCTTCTTGACCTGAAATTTGCAACTGTGAGGGTACGGAAGTTTCACTTAGCAAGTTTCCGACTTAAATAGTACACGTGAATTTCAGCAGGAAAAAACCATTGCCAGCGATATCAAAACTATGAACTTCACTGGGATAAGTGAATGTCAATGTAACAATAAAATTTCAAATTTATAATGTCAATCTTGCACTTGGTTCACTACAATAGGAACTGCTCAGATGAATTCGATAAACATAAAGGATCTGATAAGTTGTAAGAATTTGAATGCTAGCAGATATATCAAACATGTGTAAAGGAATAACCAGATATTCCAACGCCGATGTGTGCGGTCTTAATCATTGATACATCATTAGCACCATCGCCAACCGACAACGTCACAGCCTTTTTATTGCGTTTCACAAGATCAACCACCATCGCCTTCTGAAGCGGTGTTACTCGACAACAGACAACTGCCTAGAAAAGATACTTACTGCCGTCTGTTCTGTTTTCGATGCAATCATCTGAATTAAGGAGAACAGTATGAGACAAACCTGACATATGCATCCTATGTCTAAGAATGTTTTTTCGAGATTACGTTTAAGCGCATGAGTGAGTGAATGACCATTAATAACCAAGCCAAAACCTTCACCATCGTCATCCTCTTTTAATGTTGTACCATTTCCTGCAGAATAATTCGTTGCAAAAATATGAGGTTTTATTGAACTATCAACAGCAGTATTTCTTTCAAGGTGATAACAGGTCACACGAATATTAAGCGTCAAAAATTTTGAGGTACTGACCTATGCCACTTTCACCAATTGGGTTGCGTTTTTCATTAATATCATTTTTGGTGATACCATCTGGTGGATGTATGAATGCGATATCGGTTTGTGCCAAACGAATATTATGCTCTCCACCTCCTCGCACAATATCCTGCATCATGTTCAATTTATATTCCTTGCTGTGACTCTGCGTGAGACAAGCAACATATTTTCACATGGAACAGCGAATTTCAGCAGC